TCAATGACAATTCCTTTATCATTAACCTATTAAATTCTTTCATAAAAAATAATACTATATAAAATTTTGCAATCCATCATCATTATATTAAATTTTTAATTTATTTTTTTGCCAAAAATATCTCCTCCAATACAATTCCAATAATTACCATATTTTTTTTCGCTCCATCATACATATTCTTTTCGCAAACCGCGATAATAAAAACGATCCAATTCATCGCATCCAATTCATAACATATCGCAAATAACAAAAACTAAAGAAAATTTTAATAATAAACAATTATAATTTTAAATTATTTAATATCGCAATAAATATCATTATAATTAACATTATATCCATAAAATAAATAATATATAATTTCATCCTCAAAAATTAAAAAAATCGATATTAACAAATCATTATGTAAAATATTTATTTTATCGAATTATAAAAATATAATATAAAATTCAACTATATCATTAATAATTTATAGACGAATATTTAAAAATTAAATATATATATTTAAAAAAAATATATTTCTTAATAAATATTATTAAGAATACAATAAATATATCTATAATAATATTAATCTAAATAAGCCTAGATATAAGCATCTTAATCTTCTACACTATCTATTTCCTCTCAGTCTGGGTCTTCTTCTTGTTTGTTTGATAATTCTCGTCAATCACCAATTGCACACCAATTACATATATATTTTTCTTTATAACGCTCAGAGGAAATTTATCTCATATTTACCTTTGTCAAGACATCTGTCAATACATTCTGATGACAAAAGGAAACAAAAGGGAAACGGAGACAATCACGAACAATAAAAGGACCGGATAACCCCACATGATAAGTTTTACAAATTTCAATTGTATATGAACATCACATGGAAGACGGAGTAGTGAGATGAAAAGTCAAGAACGAAGTGTGAGGAGAGAAGGTATATGAGGCGGTTGTGCTAAGACGTGTAGTATAAGTGATGATGTGATGGACGAGGATGAGAAGGAGGGGAGGGAGGAGGTGTGCGTGTGTGTGTGTGTGTGTGTGGTAAGATGGCGTGCGTGTGTGTGTGTGTGGGTGTGTGATAAAGTGTCTGATGATGTGATGAACAAGGATGAGAGGGACGAGAGAGAGAGAGAGAGGAGAGAAGGAGGCGGAGAGAGAAGTTTGGAGGCTCTGGACTTTGCGATCAGATCCGCATGAGACCTTCAAAACGTAACACACTCGAAACGACCATCAAAGCTATCAAGTGGTCTTATCCCGACCACGGCGGGCAGTGCTAGCAGGATGTAAAGTGGAGTGAGTGAGTGGAGTGAGTGAGTGGAGTGATGGAGTGAGTGGAGTGAGTGAGTGAGTGAGTGGAGTGGAGTGGAGTG